CTTTTGGACCGTTTGAATAATCGATGGGGTGAACTTACGAAAAGGTTGACCCTTGGCGTGAAATCCATTAACTTAACTGAGTATAGATGCCTACCTGTTCGCTTTCTTTTAATCATTTAACTCATCCGGTTACTAAGTTACCTACGCTTTTGTCAGTTAAGGTTGCTGTTTAACAAAAATAGGTGTTTTCCGGAAAAATCGTCCTACGCGCGCTACTTTTAAAGAAACCATGGAAAACTATATATCACTGTAAAGCTTTATAAAGAACAGATTAAAATTCACAAAAGTTCCCAAAAATTTTGTTTGGGTTGGCGCATGCTAGCTTTTAAGCTCAAAACCGACAGTGTTTGCTTCACTGAATTACCAGCTTTTGCGTTCCAGCGGACCTCCAAAAAACATAATAGGCTAACAAAAAATTGACGCCTTTTTTAATATTCTTTTTAGTTCCTGAGAATATCGATTTTGAAGTTGGACAACACAAAATGTTTTGGTTCTTGTTATCCTCTGGGACGTCCAAAGAGAAATATTTCGAATTTCGTAAAAGCCTCAAATACTTTGGGGTGCTAAAAACTGCCGAAAATTCTGGCCAATTTTCATAAATATCCAACATACCCTATTAATTCGTTAGAGAAGTAGTAACTCACCTTTCAATGCGGTCATGCTGCCGACCAGTGAAACGCAACATCGAAACCCTGGCAAGTTTCGCGAAAAAGAAATCCTTTGAAATTCCCGGAAACAGAACGAAAATTGGACAAAGGAAGCTTGAGAAAAAGAAAAACTTAATTTCGATTTCTTAGGCCTAGGATCTCTCGCGACTATTCTCTTTCTAGCTGTTTTATGAATGCTCTTAATACTAAACGTTTAGCGAAATATGCCCGAAATTCCCTTTGGTTGTACAATGCAATACGCGATGTAAATAAAATATGCAAATCTAGATCGTAAACGAAAGCCCGCGGAAAACGTCAACATCCCGCAGGAAGCCTTTCCGGTTATGACACCTTTCGCTCCACGGTACTAGTTCCCTTGTTCTTTCAGCCGTATATTCCGTTCGTTGAAAGATTTTGTCATTTTTACGACAAATTAAACTTAACTACGTTCTCCAACTAAAGAGAAAGAACACCAAATTTAAAAAAATTTGACTAGATTTTGTCGACAATAACCCAAAGTTTATCACTCATCACAGTTTACAGAATCTAACAGGAAGAGCGTCCTGAAGGAATCCTCTCTATTCGGTAGGTAGATAGCAACGATACATACTTGAATAACGGTACTCTTGTCTTAAGTTCCCTTTGGTTGTGCCGTACGCAATATAAATAAAATATGCAAATCGAGATCCAAGACGAAACCCCGCGGAAAACGTCAGCACCCCGCTGACGCAAATATCCCTGTGACCTATGACCTCTAAATGAAGCTCAGTTCTAGCATAAAAACCAAACAAATCTCATCACATTTTACAGACTCTAACAAACAAAGCATCCTGAAGAAATTGACTCCATTTCGGTAAGTAGATAGCAACACCACA